CTTTAAATGCAGAGAATTTCCTCTGGTGGGCAGCAAAAAAGGAAGTCAGAGAGATTCCAAGTAAGAGATGGATTCAACATGGCCCTGCTATCTTAGAAGGTGGACGGGTCACATGGCAAAGCATGCGGGTGGCCTCTGGAAGCTGAGAGTGGCCTCAGCCAATAGCAATCAAGGAAGCTTCTATTTCCATCTTACAACTGCAAGGAACTAAATCCTGCCAATAATTAGAAGGAGCTTAGAAGTGAATTCTTCCCCAGATCTTCTAGGTAAGAGCCCTTCCTGGCCAACAACTTGATTTTGGCCTTGTAAGACCCTAGGAGATAATTTGGTCAAGCTTGCCTGCAATGACCTACAGAACTATGAGCTAATAAATGGGTGCTATTTTAAGCTACTAAGATTGTGGTTATTTGTTAAACAGCAATTGAAAATTAATACACTATTGCCTATATTTATGTTTCTACATTGCATTTATTCCTGTTTTGACTCCTTTGGTTCCACCACTGAAAACTGTATTCTGTCTTCCTTATAGCTGTAACTAGTTCTTTTTCCACTGACTTCATCTCCCAATGATACATCTGATATTGAATATGGATGAGATACACTCATGCATCCTTTCATTCCATAAACAGTCATTAAGTGCCTATTATGTGCCCTAATGCACATATCTGGGAGTAGAATAGTGAAACAAATATTGTCTTTGTTCTCATGAAGCTTGCATTCTGGCAAATGAAACAAGTAATCATCAAATAAACTATAACATCAGCCATTGTGAAGTGTAAGAAAGGATGGTTGGTGAGGTCAGTGGCCAGCTACTGTTGGCTATGGCAAGGAATTTAGATTTAATGGGGAAGTTGTTGGAGAGCTTTGAGTAGGGGAGTGACCAGATTAGATTTTTATTGTAAAAGGATCACTCAGACTGCTTTGTGGATAATACACCCAATTGGGAGGTGGTAGGTAGGAAGGTAAAGTGAGAGAGGTGAGGGGAGGTGATAGGGCTAGGAAAAGACAGAAGTCTGAAGGAGACATACTGGTGGCCAGCACTAGATGGGAGTGGTAAAGGTCATGGGAAGTGATTACATTTGGAATATATGTGAAGGTAGAAGAAGATTAAACTGAAAACTAATCTTCACCTCTTGAATACAAGTGGTTGAGGTGGCTCTTGAGTGATCGGCTCAACTCCTTCACTCCCCATTGATTGAGTACTCATCTTGCATATCAGCTGGCATTCAGATTCCAATTTTGGCTTGGTACATTACGTATGTGATTTCACTTACTCCTTAAAATAGTCATATGAAGTGGGTGTCTTTAATCCTATTAATATTATTCCACATTATGGATATTCAGGGTTGTTCGTAAACAGATAAAATTGTGTGTTTGCATGTGTGTTTACCAGCAGTTTGATGTTGAATCATTTCTACAAGTTCTGTTCTACTTGAAAACCAACCACACCCTCTTTCTTTTAGAACTTCTTTTCTTTCGCATATGGTTCTTGGTCCAGATGTCAGAGGCCAGAACCTGTCGAGGGTGGATAATTACAGCTGAGTCCAGGGATCCTGGAATGGAATTTTTACTTTTGGAATTTTCTTCTGCATTTAGAACATATGGCCTGAAGCAAAGACTGTCGCTAGCTCTGATCCCATAACATTTTTTATGATCATATGGCCTGAAGCAAAGACTGTCGCTAGCTCTGATCCCATAACAATGTTTATGATCTCATAAACACTGGTGTCTTTTCTGAGTGTGCCACTAGAGCAAGGAAGAGCATCCTGAGAGATGATTCTATATGATGCTGAGTCAGAGCACAGTCTCTATAGTATCACTAGTTGAAAGCAGAATGCTATTTTAGGTTTCCACCCCTGACACCTGATTTTGAAAAGCTCTCTAACACATAAAGTAATGGAGTACCTGATTGTCTAAAATGGTCTAAAACAATCCATTATTAATTCTTCACAATTCCTTTAAAATCGAGTTGTTTAAAATGAAAACTAAAACCAAATATAGGATGTCGATCCTCTTGGCATACTTTTAGGAAGTGAAAAGGATAATTTCTGTTCCTTAAATAATTACTTTGAATACCTACTATGCACAAGCCACTGTGTCAGAAACTTAGGCCACCAAGAGAATTCAAAAGCAACCCAGTCCCTGGCCCTCATGGAGCTTTAAGTCTAGTCGAATAAGAAATCATTAATCCAGTACTCACACAAATAAGTCTATAGTTACAAACCGAGAAATACTATGAAGCAAAAAGCAACATAAATCTTACTTTCATATTAAGTATAAAAAAGACCTTGCTGTATGTGCATTTATATATGTCCTGAGAAAATTTGGAGAAAGAATGAAATGAATTATCAAAAATATGAATATTCATAAACTTTCTGGGAGCTATTATTTAGAAACATTTTAAAATAAACAAAAAGTTGTCATTTTTTCATTAACAAAGCACAACATCAGCATTTGACCTTTTACAAATTCCACATGGTACTGTCATCCTACTGAGCTAGCACGGCACACGGCCTCCATTTCTATATAACTTCTGTATTGTTATGTCTTCATTCATTCATTTATTATTCTTTCAAGAAAAAACTCTATTATCTTTTCTATAAAATTGCTAGCCTTTGCATAAGACTCAAAATTGTATGATAACAATAAAAATAACACTTGTCATTACATTCTATTATGTACCAGATATTATATATGTATATATAAAAATATATATATACACACACACACACTCATTTAATTTTTTTGGCAATCTCGAAATGCAGGTACAGTTGGCTCTTTGTATCTCTGGGTTCCACCTCCATGGATTAAACCAACTAGGGATCAAAACTACCTGGAAAAACAATTGCAATTGTACTTAGCATGCATGTACTTAGCATTCTTAAGAAGGAAATGTACTTTCTTAAAATGCTAAGAAAATACTTAGCATTTTCTTCTTGTCATTATCCCCTAAAAACACATTAATAACAACTACTCATATAGCATCTACATTAGGTAATATAAGTCTGCAGATGATTTAAACTATATGGGGAGCATGTGCATAGGTTTTATGCAAATATGATACATTTTTTAATTTTTTACATGGTTTTTTAAATATTTCGTTTAATTTTAAGTTCCGGGATACATGTGCAGGATGTGCAGGTTTGTTACACAGGTAAATGTCTGCCATGGTTGTTTGCTGCACCTATCAACCCATCGCCTAGGTATTAAGCCCAGCATGCATTAGCTATTTATCCTGATGCTCTCCCTTTCCCCAGCCCCTCAACCGGCCCCAGTGTGTGTTGTTCCTCTCCCTGTGTCCATGTGTTCCCATTGTTCAGCTCCCACTTATAAGTGAGAACATGCAATTTTATAAAAGGGACTTGAGCATGCTTGGATTTTTGATATTTGAAGGAGGTCCTGGGACAAATCCCCCACAGATTGTGAAGGATAACTGTTAGCCTTATTTCATATGAGGAAACAAGACCTATAGAAATTAGTAAGTTACACAAGGCAATGCAGATACTTGTTATTTAAATTCAAATCAGGCTGATCAGCTTCTAAGTCATGCATCTTTTCATTACACTGTTATGGTAAGGACAATGACACATGTACAACAATAGTTACATTTCAAGATGGTGTGTGATGAGTGCCATGTTCTGAAATTAGGATTATAGATTGGAAAGAGTGGCATTTTTAGCCAAAGTGGCTAAATAGAGGATACCATTTCCTCTATTTACCAGTTCCCAGATTTGCCACATTTTTTCTTTTTGAGGTCTCTACCTAGTACATCATTATCTCCCTCTCTTTTATCCAAACACATTGAGGGTCCTTATAAATGGAGGAGAGAAGACTATTTCTGTCTTTAAAAGTATTCTCCACTAAAAAGTTTTATTAGTAGTGTAGAAGACAGATTTGTAGTCTAATGTACTTACTCCACTTCTCATTCCAGTTTTCTTAAGAGATACTCAATTTGTGATTCAAGACTGTTTCAGTGTATCAAATAGGTATGTAATATCATTTTCTTGCTTTTAGCAGTAATGGCATATTTGATATCTCCACTCTGAATTTCTCTGTTGATTTAGAAGGCTCATGAAGGCCCATCTGGTGGCATCTTGTGAGACAGTGCCAGCTGGTGAGGCAAATGGCAATGTGGGCTTGAACTGCATCTCCCCAGCCTTGTATCCAATTTGGATCACTTTTTGGTGTATGCCACACAAACTTGCACTCAAAAGTGGTCTGCATTTTAGGCACAGAAATTTAACAACCATGATTAGGATGGAGAAAAAAGACGATAAATTATATGGATACACCATAATTTTGCAGAGCTTTTTTAAAAACTCCTAACGCAAGAAATATTTAAACCAGAGTTGGCAAACTTAAAGCCACTGTTAATTTCCCCAACATCCTTATAATTGTGCCTACATTTCCTACCCTTCCCCAGAGCCCTGTGATTTCCTAAATAATGCATATGTGTTCCAAGACATAACATGAGTATTGGATGTTTCAGTCAGAGGGCTTGAATCAGAATCTGTTACCCAGAGTCGATCTTGGGCAAGTCACTTGTGTTCTAAGTGTATTATTTCTCTCACTGGAAAAATGGTAGCTAAGTTGACCTTTGCTATTTACTTCTCAAGGTTTTAAAAAGAAAACATATTCGTACACCCAAAGAATGTTTTGTGGCAAACGAGAGCTTTCTCTTCCTAGAAGAGTGTCTCCTTAGATTAGCAAAGAGGCTTCAGTGATTTGCAAACTGGCAGGGCTGCTGAAACACTATAGGCTTGAATTCTGTCAACTGATCCTCTAAGAGTGGTAAGATAACTACTTTGACCTTATATGCTTACATTTATTTTAATCTTATTACAATTGTGAATCCCACTTAAGGACATTAATAATACTGGTTGAAATTTATACTTTTAAAGAAAAGAATATGATTGTCTTAGACTGTTTGGGTTGCTTGAACAAAATACCACCCAGTTCAAAATACCAGATGGCTTATAAACAAGAAATGTATTACTTACAACTCTGGAGAATAGGAAATCCAAGATCAAGGCATCAGCATATTCAAGATCCAGGCACTGGCAGATCTGGTGTCTGGTGAGGGCCTGCTTCTTCGTTCACAAATGTCCTGTCTTCTTTCTTTGTCTTCACCTGGTGGAAGGGGTGAGGGAGCTCTTGGATCTCTTTTTTAAGGGCACAAACTCCACTCAGAGTATTGCTGTCTTTAGAAGTGTTCTCCACTAAAGGGTTTTATTAGGAGTGCAGGAGACAGATTTGTAGTCTAATGGACTTACTTTCACTTCTCATGTCAGCTTTCGTAAGAGATGCTAAATTTGTAATTCAGGACTGCCTAATCACCTCCCAAAGTCCTCACTTCCTAATACCATCACACAATGGATTAAGATTTCAACATACGAATTTTGGGAGGACACAAACATCCAGTCTATTGGACTATGATGATCATACAAAGTATTTCTTGTTTTCTTTCTGGGAACATGATAAGGTTGCACTCCTTCCCCCATCTCCTCTTTGAATAAAGGAACGTGAATAGAAGTAACTTACATCACTATTAGTGAAAGTTTTAAGAAGCTGTATCTATTTGCCACTTCTGTCTTCCACAGTTAGGCAAATTTGGAATGATGGCTATTTATCAACCTGTGAATATGGATGCCTGGATTAAAGCTTCTAGCCAATTCATGATGCACATGTAGAAGGAATGAGAAATAAACCCCAATGTGCTAAGCATTTAAATTTTGACTTTTTTTAAAAAATATATTTATTGTGCTAAGAACACCTAACCTGAGATCTATCATCTTAACAAATTTTTAAGTGTACAATACAGTACTGTTAGCTGTAGGCACAATGTTGTATAGTAGATACCTAGAATGTATTCATCTTGTATAAATGAGATTCTGTGCCCACAGATTAGCAACTCTTGTTTCTCTCTCCCCATAAGTCTCTGGCAAGCAACATTCTACTCTGTGATTCTAAGTTTGACTATTTTAGGTACTTCCGGTAAGTGAACTCATGCAGCATTTGTCCTTCTGTGACTAGCTTATTTTACTCAGCATAATGTCTTCAAGGTTCATTGAAAGAAAGTTCATTCAATGTTGTTGCATTTTGCAGAATTTTCTTCTAAGGCTAAATAGTAACCATTGTATGTATATATCTCGTTTTTATTCATTCATCTTTCCATGAGCATTTAGGTTGTTTCTCCTTCGTGGCTAATGTGAATAGCACTGAAATGAACATGGGAATGCTAAAATCTCTTTGAGATCCTGATTTTAATTCTTTTGAATAAATATCCAGAAGTGGATTGCTAGGTCATATAGTAATTCTACATTTAATTATACATATATATAATTAGCATATGTATATGCTAATAAAGTTATGAGATCAAGAAGTCCCAGCATCCGCCATCTGCAATATGGAGAACCAGGAAAGATGGTGGTATAATGTATAATGCAGTCTGAGGTGAAAGGCCTGAGAATTGGGAGGCCAATGCTGTAAGTCCCTATATAGGTCCTAAAGCCCATGAACCACAGCATGTACGTCAGGCAGAAAAAGATGTATGTCCCAGCTCAAGCACAGAAAAGAAATTTGCCTTTCTTCCACCTTTTTGTTCTATCCTCAATGAATTGACTGAGGCCCACCCACATTGGTGAGGACAGTCTTCTTTACTCAGTCTACTAATTCACATTCTAATCTCTTCTTCATACACTTTCACACATACATACTTAGAAATAATGTTTTTACCAGCTCTCTGGGTATCCTTTGGCCCAGTCAAGTTGACATGAAATATTAACCATTTACATGCCATACTGATTTTTGATACCAACTGCTTCCTTTAATATTCCCACCAAGAGTGTACGGGAGTTGTCATTTCTCCACATCTTCACCAACAATTAAAAAAATGTCCCTTCTTTTTATAATGCCCATCCTGACAGGTGTGAGGTAATCTCTCACTATGGTTAGTAACTGAGTATCTTTTCATATACGTTTTGGTTCCTTGTATGTCCTCTTTAAAGAAATGTGTATTCAAGTCTTTAGCTCATTTAAAAATCAAGTTATTAGTTTTCTTGCTAATCAGTTGTTTACATTTCTTGTATATTTTGGAAATTAACCCCTTATCAGACATATGGTTGGCAAATGTTTTCTCCCACTCCATAAATTGCCTTTTCATTTTGTTGATTATTTTACTTGCTGTGCAGGAGTTTTTTAGTTTAATATAGTCCTGTTTGTCTACTTTCGCATTTTTTGCCTCGTTTTCATTTCATATCCACAAAAGCATTGGCAAGACCAATGTCACAAAGTTTTTTTCCTTATGTTCTCTTCTGTAAGTTTTATAGTCTTAGGCATTATGCTCAAATCTCTAATCCATTTTGAGTTGATTTTTTTGTGTACGTTGTAAGATAAAGATCCAGTTTCTTATTTTTTACATATGGACATTTAATTTTCCTACTACCATTTGTTGAATAGACTATCTTTCCCCACTGTGTGTTCTTGACGCCTTTGCTGAAGATTAGTTAATCCCATAGATGCATGATGACATGGTTTGGCTGTATCTCCACCCAAATCTCATCTTGAATTGTAGCTCCCATAATTCTCACATGTCGTGGAAGGGACCTGCTGGGAAGTAATTGAATCATGGGGCGGGTCTTTTCTGTGCTGTTCTTGTGACAGTGAATAAATCTCATGAGATCTGATGGATTTATAAAGGGGAGTTCCCCTGCACAAACTCTCTTGCCTGCTGCCATGTAAGACATGTCTTGCTTCCCCTTCACCTTCTGCCATGATTGTGAGGCCTCCCCAGTCAACTGGAACTATGAGTCAATTAAACTTCTTTTCTTTATAAATTAGCCAGTTTTGTGTAGGTCTTTATTAGCAGCATGAAAACAGACTAATGCATGTGAATTTATTTCTGAGCTGTTCATTATGTTCCATTAGTCTATATGTCTCTTTTTATGCCTGTAGTATAATTTTTCTACTGTATATTTATAATATATTTTGAAATTGGGAAGTGGTTATGTGCCTCCAGCTTTGTTTTTCTTTCTCAAGACTGCTTTGGCTATTCGTGGTCTTTTGTGGTTCTATGTGAATTGCAGGATTGGTTTTTCTGTTAATATAAAAAAATAGGCCCTGAAATTTTGATAGGGATTACACTGAATCTGTAGATCACTATAGGAAATATGGATATTTTAATAATATTCATTCTCCCAATCCATGAAAACAGGACATCTTTCCGTGTATCTGTCTTTTTTAATTTCCTTCATCAATGTTTTATAATTTTCAGTGTAAAAGTGTCACTTTTTTGGTTAAACTTATTTGTAACTATTTGATTCCTTTTGTTGCTAGTAATAAGTAGTATTGAATTCTTAATTTAGCTTATGGATAGTTTATTGCTTGTGTATAGAAATGCCACTGATTTTTGTATGTTGATTTTGTATCCTGCAACTTACTAAATTCATTTAATAGTTCTAACATTTTTTTTGGTTGAGTCTTTAAGGTTTTCTCTCTATATATTATTACATCATCTTCAAATAGAGATAATATTACTTCTTCCTTTCCAATTTGGATGACTTTTATTTCTTTTTTGCCTAATTGTTCTGGCTAGGACTTCTGGTACTATGTTAAATAGAAGTGGCAAGAGTGGGCATCCTTGCTTTTTTATTGACCTTAAAGGAACAGTGTTCAAGTTTTCACTATTGAGCATAATGTTAGCTGAGGGCTTTTCATATATAACCTTCATTGTGTTGAGCTTCTTTCCTGCTGTTCCTACTTTGTTGAGAGTTTTTATCATAAAAATATGTAGAATTTTATCAAATTCTCTTTTATGTCTTTTGAGATGATCATACGGCTTTTATTCATCTTTCATTCTTTTAATGTGATGTATCACATTTGTTGATTTGCATATGTTGAATCATCCTTGCATCCTGGGGATAAATCCCCCTTGGTCATGGTGAATGATTCTTTTAATGTGCTGTTGAATTTGGTTTGCTAATATTTTGTTGATGATTTCTGCAATCACATTCATTAGAAATACTGACGTGTAGTTTTCTTTTGTTGTGGTGGCTTTGTCTAGCTTTTTTATCAGGGTTAATTCTGGCCTCATAAGTTTGGAAGTATTTCTTTCTCATCAATTTTTTGGAAGAGTTTGAGAAAAATTGCTATTAATTCTTGAAGTGTTGCATACAATTCATCGGTGAGGTGTTTGGTCCTGGGCTTTTCTTTGTTGGGAGATTACTGTTTACTGATTAAATAGCCATACTAGTTATAGGCCTGTTCATACTTTTTATTTCTTCATGATTCAGCTTTGGTAGGATGTATGTTTCCAAGAATTTATCCATTTCTTCTAGGTTTCCCAGGTTTCTGGTGTATAATGGTTAATAGTAATCTCTTACAATCCTATGCATTTCTGTGGTATCAGTTGTAATGTCTCCTCTTTGTTTTCTGATTTTATGTGACTCTTCTCTCTTTTTTTCTTGGTTATTCTAGCTTAATATTTTCAAGTTTATCTTCTCAAAAAAACCAACTCTTAGTTTCACTGTTTTTTCTATTGTTTTTCTGTTCTTTATTTTATTTATTCTGCTATAATCTTTATTATTTCCTTTCTTCTTCTGACTTTGGATTTAGTTTGCTCTTATTTTTCAATTTCCTTGAGATATAAAATGGGTTTGAGACCTTTCTTCTTCTTCAACATAGGCACTTATCACTGTAAACTTCCTTCTTAGTACTTCTTTTGCTGCATTCAGAAAGTTTTGTTATGTTCTATTTATATTTTTATTTGTTTCAAGATATGTTTTATTTGTCTGGATTTATTTTTTGACCCATTGGTTGTTCAAAAATACATATCTAATTTCCACATATTCACAACTTTTTCGGTTTCCCGTTGTTATTTATTTCTAGTTTTACTACATTTTGGTTGAAGGGGTACTTGGTATTATTTCAATATTATTAACTTTGTTAAAACTTGTTTTGTTACTTAACATGATCTATCTTGAAAAATGTCCTGTATGCACTTGAGAAGAATTAATATTCGTTTGCTGTTGAATGGAATGTTTTGTAGAGATCTGTTAGGTCCATTTGATGTACAGAGTTGTTTGTGTCCACTGCTTCTTTGTTAGTTTACTATCTGGTTGTTTTTCTATCAATTACTGAAAATGGAGTGCTAAAATCTCCTACTATTATTGCAGCACTATTTTCCCTTCAGTATTATCAATGCTTGTTTTATATAGTTAAGTATTCTCTTGTTAGGTACATATCTATTTATAATTGTTATATCTTCCAAGTGAATTGGTCCTTTTTTCATTGGATTATATACTTCTTGTTCCTTGCAACAATTTTGACTTAGTATCTATTTTATCAGATATAAGTAAAGCCACATCTACCCTTTTTGGGTTACTATTTTCATGGAATATATTTTTTCATACATTTTTTTTTCAGCCTGTGTCCTTTAATATAAACTGTGTTTCCTGTAGACAGCATATAGTTGGATCTTTTAAAAAAGTCCTTCAGCCACTCTGTATCTTGATTGGAAACTTGAATCTGTATACATTTTAAGGAAGTACTGATCAG